TTCGCTGCTGGTGGCGGTGGTGGATTCGGTGGATCATCATTTGAATCATCAAGCTTTTCATCAGGCGGTGGTGCTGGATCCGAAGGTGGTTTCGCTGCTGGTGGCGGTGGTGGCGCTGATAGTGCCTTCGAACAAGCTGATGCAAACCGTGATGGACATCTCGATATTAATGAATTCCGTAACTTCTTTGGTTAGTATCGGTTCTGATGAATCTAGTCATGTTATAGTAAATAATGATGTAAATTGTTTTCATTATTCGTAGGTCAACAACTTGGTGGTGCAGGTGGTGGATCATCCTACTAATCAAGGAGTTCATCATTTTCTTATTAAATTATCGAAACAATCGATCACCAATTAAGCATCCATAAACACTCATAGTTTACACGTGAACGAGGAATTATTAGGTTTCATGAAATATAGGTTTTTTCCCTTAACATCTTAGTTGGTGCTTGGTCGTCTTTAATTTGTGATAGAGTTGCTTCTTTTACTGTATTACTTCGCTTTTATCATACAGCATTTTATTATGATTTCACTTAGTATAATAAATACATGTAAGAACTGAATTCATCTGTATTTGTTGCATTAAATACTTGATTAGATATTGGTTGGGAAAGTTTTAAAAAAACGATATCAATATATTCTGATGAAATAAAGAACCTGAAATGATTTGTCAAGTCTACACTAATTGGTACGCTGCTTAATAAGATTATGCTTTTTTGCAATTGAAATAGGTTTGGTGTCGAAATGACATCAAAATTTTCCTGTCTTCGTTTCTAAAGCGTATTATTTATCATACTATAATAATTATTCCAATGAAGATATTACATATGTGGTAAAAAATGATGAAATACAGAAAGTTTGTATTAATAACACTTGTATTAGTGTGTGTGTGTGTGTGTCTACCTTTTTCCTAAACATGCGACAAATTATACTAAGTTCGGTATCGAGCGTTGTTTTAAACGGTTTTTCTCTATTGATAATGATGATAGGTTAGTTTCATTTATTTTTTGTTCGACTAGCAATTGATAATCACTCGTAAACATTAATATAATATCTAAATCAGAATGGAATAAACGTGTCTGATTTTGATTAAACATTTCTCGTAATTCATGATCAATTAATGTGCAATTATTTGATGGCAGTGAAGATTTTTTTGTTGAATCATCTATTATTTTTGAACGTTTTTTTTAATTGGAATTAAGGAATGAATATGAATGTTTCATTTTATTTTTTTTATTTTAATCAAATTTTGACATTGATGAGCAATTTATATTAGACACCCAAGATTTAGACAAAATAAAGGCGTTTTTTTGTATTGTAGATTACGTAGAAGTGTAAGTACAACTAAAGTATCATTATGATGAAGTATGGACAATGTAAACCAATTGGAATGACCTAAAAATATGACACGCAAGAGACAACTGCAATTAATTGATGAATTTGTAATAAACTATTTCTAAAAGAATCACGTTTATATTAAGAAAATGATACTTCAACATCTTGCTTTATGTTTGTATCATGCTCTTGTCATTTGCGATAGCTCGATGATTAGAGGATCATCTCCCGATCCTTTTAAGACTTCTAGTAAAGTCTTGCGAGAAAATTTTAGTTTTTCTTTTTATTCTATTATTGTGAGAATTCTATTCAATAGTTTATTTTTCATGTTCGAGAAAGACTAAGAGTAAAATTAAAAATTAAAATGTCATAATGGATTCATGTCTTAAAATTAAATAACCTAAGACTAATATTTTTAAGTTCATGTTATGTAAAGTTAAGAGCATAATTGCTTGTTTCAGTTGAGAAGTCGAAAGAGAATACATTGTGCGATAAATTAAAACACTGACGAAAATGTAAATATTTTCAGCGTGAAAAGATTATAGAACGGCTGCATTGTAAGATAATCTAATACAATTTCTTTCGAATATGATAAATCGAAAGAAAATCATAGTTGAGATCACTGAATCATAATTAAATGTAATTATAGCAAAAAAAAATTATCTAGGAATTTTTGATAGATTTTTTGTAGTTTGCTTTAATTATTGAACTATACAAAAGCCTTTGGCAGCATTTTGAAATGTGTTTCTCATAAATGAAACGCTTCAATGATGTTGAGCTGTTTTGTTTGAAATAAGAAAGCTGGCAGTCCATTTACGTTGAACAAAATGAAATATATGACTTTTGCAATCTTTTTTTAAATATCTTTTTGGTCGGTACCAGAAACAGAACCAAAACTATCGCTCCCATACAGAACTAGTACAAAAGTAAATATTATAGATAATAATAACAGACTAACAGTACTTTTTAAAATACTGAAATAAGTGAAGGTCTTTTTCAATATTCCGTAGGGTGCAAATGAAATTTTATTCCTCAACAAGAATTCATCAATTCAAAGTCATTGTTGATCAAACAATGCTAACATTATTAGTACAAATTACATGTTAGAAAGCCTTCATGTTTGAAGAATAACTGTTTTCAAACACTCACCTTGAGCATGATCTCTTTCAGTGACACGTATTTTTCGAGAGTACCATTATCAATATGTAATTTAAAAAAAAACATTATTTTTTTATGAATTGTTGTCAAAATGAATGCGTTCAGCATAGGATATATTGAAAATGTTTCAAGAATTCTTGTCGGAATATTGTACTTTTTTGACATTAAAGGAGATGAAATCGAACCTTTTCCAATCCGTGTAAAATACTTCGAAATCGAAAACCTGTCTTGCATCATAAATGATTAAAGTAAAGACACAATTGATGTCGCTGAAAAACTTCTATATACATCTTCTAACACTTATCAATTCAAAACTCTCCTGTTCATATATCTTCTCGGCCGCCAATACTTTTATTGCGCATCTCTATGTACATTTGTTATAATTCTATATTTTCTACGCATCATAATATATACGACACCATAAAATTTCTACATAAAAAAAAGCACCTAGAACTGTGCCACTATTTTAAGCATGCTTATTTTGGATGAAAATACTTCGGAACCTCAGTTCGAAATGGACAAGGTCAGTCTATTACTACTTAAATTATATTCAGTTGTAGTTAAAATGATTTACTGATAATTATTTAAATATTAAAAATAAAATCAATTTTAATGCCTTTCTATAGAAATAAAATGTTTCAGACAATTTATTTTTAATTGTAAAATACGAACAATACAGTTGTTATTGCTAACATTCAGTCAATTTTTTGTACTTCAGCAAATATATCATTGATCCTGAGAGCGGCAAATGTTTTTTCTTCGTTTATTTCGAACTATAGCGAAATAGTAATTTACATCAATAACAAATCTAACCAAAACTAATTGAAAGTTCAAGCACATGGATGAATATACAAATTGTAGGAAGTTTTAACAACATCTATTTTTCATTCACTTAATTCTCATTTAACATGCATAAAAGTAAGAGCTACATTCAAGTTTTTTTTATCCATAGCAGGAGTAATTTAATGTAAAATAAAGATAGAGATAAAAAAAATCGATTGCACATGAATCACCTTATCCACGATATGACAACGCATATTTGACTATTATAGTTTGCCTACGCACATTGAGATGATATCTTCTTCAAGGTATAGCATTCATTATATATATATATTATCAGCAAGTATCGCAATGGATGTCGCTTCAGTTAAAACCATGTCATGATATTCTGATTTCTTTCAGATTTACTGTGATGATATTATTTCGACACAATAACTACTATTTCATGTAATATTTCTTTTGAAAGAATATTGTGAGCAATTATCTATAAAATTGAATATAAATGCTCACAAAAAAAATGCTATTGCTAATACATGATGAATGAGTATACATATATCATTACTAAATATCATTGAAGACAATACAAACTTATATGAATCTTTATTATATCCACATTATTTGAACAATAAAGACTTCAATAAAAATCTATCGAGAAAAAATTTAGGGATCGGTGTAATAGAGAGAGAAAAGAGAAATGCTTATTTATGATTGATGATTTGAAATATGTTATTGTAATGTACATGATGAGTAAATCAATCTTTTTTTTAATTAAAAGATCGATTTAAACATGTCTTACATGTAAACTGTCTACTTCTAGTATACCACTAAACGGCTTGTCCAAGCGTAACGCTGTGACGTTTTGGCAAATTGTTTTAAAAATACCTCAAAAACTATGATAGCTGGAAATTTTATTCAAACGCCATTCGATGCAGCTCAACGAGTTCTATATGTACTATAAATTTGATATTTTTTTCTAAACTCTATAGCTTACAGAAATGATTTATAGTCGCGTAACACTGTGCCGTAAAAGGCCCCTGAATTTCCAACGCTTTCACTTATCGTTTAATTCCCTGCAAACGATGATCTCCAATTAAAACAGGCCTGGAACTAACTTTGTAAAGCATGAAAAGAGCTTTTCAATGGTAAAAAAAGTGTTTTCCTAGCTCTCATTATTCAAAGAAAAAATTTAAAAAAAACGTAACACTGACATTTTTCATAACGCTGTGACTCCTTTTTTGGTCGATCAATTTCGGGTCACTTGACTTACTCAGATCTATTTGATTTTTATAGCGCGTGGTCTTTTCTGTACATATAACCACTGTACAAAACTTCAAGTTCTTATGATGAAGCAGAAGCTCGTTATTAGTATGGGAAGTTGAAAACTCTACAACAATGTAAAAGTGGCCTCCGGGGGGTGAAAGTTAAATATAAACAGCTCATTTTGTAGAGAATAAAATTCTGCATCGAATGGTGTAATAATTAGCACTTTTCGAAAAAATGGTACCTTAAAAAATTCAAAATACGACTTTTAAAAAGTTAAAAACATGATTTTGGTTGCAAAAAAAGTGATTAAAAAAAAAAAAAAGATAAACTCGTAATCAGCGCAAAAACCTACATCGAAGGATGTGCCGAAGTCAGCTCATATCGAAAAAAACTTTTTCGAAAACTTCCGCAGCGAAAGTGACAATTACGTGGACAAGTCGTAAAGCAGAAACATTATATCCTCTAAATTTGTTGCTACCTTATGTCCTTGAAATATTTATCTCATTTATTTACTACCAGTAACATATAAATTTTGACAGATGAATATCTTTTGTATTAGCTCGTAGAATCAGACGGCAGACAAACAGAGCGGCTCGTAATGTTATAATTGTAATTTTCATAGAGATTCTTTACATAAAATAATTGTTAAAATTATAGTTGTTCAAGCAAAACAAATATTGATAAAAAAAAAGAATTTAAAAATGAAAATGTCGAAGTCATACGTTAAACAACTTAGTATAAAGCACATTTTAACATTTAGGTATCATTCAAAATGAAACTGTGTTATCAAAAAGCAATAAATGTATTGATTGAAAATTGCATGCCTGTCAACTCTGAGAACATCATATCATGAAAAAATTCTATGTAACATGGTATATGGATTTCAATCAAAATTAAAAAATAACAAAAATTCGTACATATCATAAATAGTAATTCATATGGTGTGCAATGTTTTAATTAAAACTTGTACTAAGATGAGCTTTTTCATCAATGGAATAGATGCAGAAGCTATTATAATAAAAAGATACAATACAATCATCACAGGGAAAGTCATGCGGACGCATTACCGCAAAATGAAACTATTCTTAAAAGGCAAAAATGGTGAAAATCTGGCTTCCTGTTGCACTGTTATATAGATGAATATAAATGTGGGTCCGCTAGGAACATGTTACGGTATAATCTAAATCACATATAGTACTTTCAATTGGACAGAGCCGATAGACTGGCCAGTCTACCAGTTCAATTTACATTACATCGACATATCATGATAAAGCTATATGTGAATTTTAAATCGACGCGATGATCGTATTAGCTACCTTTTCACTAAAGTAAAACTCATAATGAAAACAATGAGAAAGCAATACTCAATAGAGTCACTAATTACCAAAAACGTGAGTGGTTACTATCCTTGTGATACTGTCGCCTATTTTCCTTTCCCCCCATTTGTCAAAGCAAATCAAAAAAGGAAAAAAACGATGCCTGCACGAGCACAGGTCTCTGATTTTAGCTACCACAAGCCAGTTATCGATTTATTTTCGTTTTCACGGTAATAATTCAAGGTTTGTGGTTGACTAGGCATACAGTATGTTTGTTCCTTTTTTACCTACCATATCGCTCATCTATCACAAGTCAATTAATTTTTTCTCCGCTAACATCATTCCACGCACAGAAGGAACCACAACAACAAGCCTTATAAGGAGATTGACCAAAAAACTACCACCCTTTCTCTCTCTCTATTTGTCCTTTTATCTTTCTCCCCCCATCTTTTACTGTGTATCTCTGTCTCTCAATCTTTCTCCTGGCCCTCTTTCATCTCTATTCATGCATGATCGACTAAGACTATATAAGTACTGGTCTATTGCCTGATTCTCTTCACTCCTTACTTTCACTTGTAAGCAATCTACTCTCATCCACAGTACAACAATAACGATGGCTGGCTATTCATTTCAATCATCTTCTTCATCTGGAGGCGGTGCTGATAGCGCGTTCCAACAAGCCGATGCAAACCGTGATGGACGTGTCGATATCAATGAATTTCGTAACTTTGCTGGTAAAATATATCTACTGAATTATTATTTGTGCACTTGTTACTGATAATTACTTTTAATTCTAGGTCAAAACCTCGGTGGTAGTAGCGGTGCTGGCTACGATTCAGGTTCATTATCATATGGTGCTGGATCTGGTGCTAGTTTCGGTGCTGGTTATGGCGGCGGCTCTGGCGCTAGTTATGGTGCTGGTGCAGGTGCAGGTTTTGGTGCTGGTGCTGGTGCAGGTGCAGGTGCAGGTGCAGGTGCAGGTGCAGGTGCAGGTTTTGGTGCTGGTGGTTCAAGCTACGAATTATCATCGTTTGAATCATCATCATCTGGTGCTGGTTTCGGTGGTGGTTCTGATGCATCATTCTCACTCGGTGGTGGTCTTGCTGCTGGTGCTGGAGCTGGTGCCGCTGGTGGTGCAAGCAGCTACGAATCATATTCAAGCAATGCTGGATTCTCTGGTGAAGCTGGAGCCGCTTTCGGATCATCAGGATCATCAGGCGTTGCTGTAACCCAATATGCTACTGATGCTCAAGGACTCTTCAAAGATCCTAACCCACAAATCATCCGCCGTGCAGCTGTTGGTGGTGTACAAACATACACACAAAGCATCAAAGTTCGATTCCTTCAACCACCACCAATACCACCACCAGGCGTAAGCGATCTTTCTATCGTTCATCATCATCTGAATCATAAATCTGACTTTTTCTTTTCATCTAACTTCTAGCCACTCATCATCAAGGAAGTACGTCCACCTCAACCACCTCCACCACCACCACTTCGTAT